ATCTGGCTAGCAGAGCTGTTTAGTGGCTTTCAAATTCCCAGTACAAACATTAAAAGAAGACACCACAAAAATAGTCAGCCAAGCTATGCATGCACATACCCATTGCTAGAATTAAGGAAGATAGTGCTACTCCATGCAAATGGATTCTAATGCATCTGAAATTCAAATGCAGTTAGCAACCCAAACACACCCTTCGTAAAGTGGGCAGGAAGTCCACTTTAAGTTAATTTTTCTCTTAATTTCTGCTCTCCAACTTAGAAACACAAGGTCCATTCCAAATAGAAAATCAGAAGAACCTTTCTATCCTATAGGTGTACCTATTTGGCACACTATTAATACTTTTCCTTGCTACATTCGAGAATTGTAGTCCCCATAATGGAAGTGGAAGATGAAGTAGGACTACTGTCCTGTATTTAGAGAAACATACTCCCCACAAATTATATCCTGTGGGCAGGTACATAAAAGAATCAATCACTAAATCAATTACAAAAGAAAAACTAAAACAAAATTAATAATTCTTCAGGTTACAAATGACTGATAAAATCTGAATAAGTATCTTGCAGAAAAAAGTTAATACCAAGTAAAAAAGTTAAAATCAAGTTCATTGAAAATGGAATAAATATTGCTATTTGATAATTCATTATCCTTCAATTCAACCTAGTATTCTCTCAATCTCCATTTTCAATATTTTTTTTTTTTTTTTTTTAAACAATGACTTCTTTTTTACCTTGCAAATAAGTTCCAAGGCTTCCAACTCATGTTCACAAGTTTCCACCAATGCAACTACGTATTTCCAACATCCTTTTTCAGATTTCATGAATTTCCTAGCGGCGAGAGAACACTGAATTGGGAGTCAGCCTGAGTTTTAGTCGTGAGTGTTATTAACTAGTGGTATGACTTTGGAGAAACTTTTTTTGAGCTCGTTGGACTCTCATTTTCCTTTTCTGTAAAACGAGGGGCTTGGAATAAATAGCAAGTAAGGTTCTTTCCAGGTTTGACATTTGGATTAATGTCCCAATGTGTTTTTTTGATTCCTACCTCAATTACTTATCTGTGCTTTGGTTAATCTCCTGTAGAGCCTTTCCTCCCACTCCATTAATCTGTGTTCTTGTCAGATCTCGTTTTAGACTCATTTAAAAAGTTCCTAAGGAATCATGTGCTTCTTGAGCACTTTTTACTTCTCAGTCCAGGGACATTTACCTGAATAAGGTTTTTTAAAATACGCCATTCTTGAGGTGTTTACTGTGCCTGAGAATTATTATATTAGAATATTTTAAAGACAGCAAACTCAAGGAAAGGACTCTGGCTTATTAAACTTTGCATCAGCAACCTCAAATGCACTGCCTGGAAGCTGGTGCTCAGATGTTTATGAGAAGAAAACATGTACTTTCATTATTTTAGTTGCTCTGTCCCTTAAAAACTGAAAAGCCAAGTTGTAGAAATACGGTCTTTAGAGCAGAATGGAAGACTCAAGGAGGAAAAGAAGTATACTACGGAGTTATGAACAATACCATTGAGTTTTATTGGTCTTCTCTCAGTAAACTTTTTCATTCCAAGAAAGATATTCAAAAGGCATTACGTAATAAACATTTATTGGGTGACTTTTTCCCCGCTCTAAAGTGTCTTTTTTGTGGAATGGGGAGTGAGAAGAGGAAAAAATGTTAAGGGTGAAAACAATTCCAAGGAAAGGGAATTTATGCAAAGGTTCAAAAATTAGATGATAAACCATTGGTGAGTCAAAATAACAAAAGCTTGTAGGAATGAGGGGACTATAATAGTGTAAAAGATAAAGTGAGAAGTTAACAGAGGGCGGATAATGAGTCCTTATATAGCATGTTTTGAAGTTGTACATTAAACTGGTGATTAATTGGGGGCCGTTGGCAGGTTTTTAGCAGAGAGCTGATATGTTCAAATTCACGTTTTAGAAAAATCACTCTATTTGTGATTTGGTTAGTTGATGTTTCAAGAGTGAAAAAAAGCCCTTTATAAGTTTGTTGTTGTATTTCGGTTCTATCATAGTAGCAACATTAACAATAATAATATTTAATATCTAGAAAGTAGTATGGAATTTCAACTCTGACTAGACCGAGGTCTTTTAGGGCAGGAAGTCAGCTTTATTCATTGTTGTAACTCTAGCACAATGCTTTGCATGTAGTAGATACCCAACTAATATTTGCTAACTTGATTTCAATATTAACTAAAAGATTATTTTAAAACTCTTTTTCTAGGATAAACATGAACCAGAAGATACTGAAAGTGGAGAACTTGCTACGATTTCACACTATTTGTAGGCAGCTGCACAGCCTGGGTCAAAGAAGAATATTAGCACAGTGGAAGCATGTGTTTTCATCTGCTTACCCAGTGTGGATGGCTCAGCTGTACGCTTGGCCCTGGCAAACAGACGTGCTCTTTGGTGCTGCTTTATCTCAGTATAGGCTTCTAGTAACAAAAAAGGTAGTTATAAATTTCTATCAGTTATTGTATTTGATCTGAGATGGAAGTGTGTAGAGCCATGAGCAGAAATCCATTTTGAGTATTTGTCATTTATAGAATCTTTATTCCGTAATGCTACACTCCAGGCAATACATCTCTGTGAAGAAGTTTTAGTTGTTCAGTAATGCTGATGAATTTGATTACTTGAGAACTGGTGGTATATAACAGTGAATTAAGGATGTAGGAGTTTTAATTTTAGTCTAAGGTTTAACTACTTATGAGAGTGTTAACTGGTAGAACTAGGAGCCGTGATTATGGTAGATACTCCAGAATAAATCTAAATTGTCACTTAAAAGTTTTTTCTTCTTCATGCGTTCTGAATTTTTAACAGGAAGAAAGATCACGGAAATCTCAGTTGTCTTCAACAAAATCTAAAAAAGAGGTAGAGGTGTGGATTGGAATGACTGTTGAGGAGCTGGCCAGAGCAATGGAAAAAGACGTAGGTGAGCCAGATAATTTTTTAAGGAAAAATATGAGAACATGGATTACCCGGTATTTTATTTGCAATAAGATTAAGGCATTCAAAGATGAAAATTAGACTGGTGGTTTAAAAAGATGTTAAGTCATTCCCATATTTTTTGCTTTAAGTCACAAACTCTAATTCATTTCTTGGCTCTTTGCCAAATATAGTTCTCTAAGATTTTGCTTCTAATAAAAGTGGAAATGATTTTCTTATCTGAAGCTAACCATTCTTTCTCAGAAATTTTGTGGGCTATTAGACTAAGTTAAAAGAATGTTTTTTGGACTGAGGGACCATATTTATATTCATTTACTTTCCCTTTGTTTTTCTATAATTTTCTGATTTCCTTTTTTTACTAATTTTGACAATATCTGTAATGCCAGCAAAAAAATATTCATAGTAATAACTACAGCTTTTAATACTATTTTTATTTATAAATGTATAGCATCATTATCATTTTTTTAATTCCTTCATTGCATCACTGATGTATTTATTATCATTTTAGGATTGTTGGAACAAAATTTGAGTTTTCATCATAAACTGACATTAAAATTCAGTAAACCAGAAATAGCCAATGACTGTAGCAAAATGCAAGTGAAGCAGACTCTTGGGAAAAAGAAAGAATTAATAATAACTCATAATTATTGAGCTGTTATTATAGACTAGTATTTTATATTTATTAACTCTGTAATTCTCACAGTGCACTAGAGGTACATATGATTATTATTGCCTTTTATAGGTTGAGAAACTGAGGCATAGAGAGGATAAATAATTGCCCAGGATTTTATGGCTATTATGTGGTAGAGCCAGGACTTAAACCCACGAAGTATAGTTCTAGAACCCATGCTCTTATTCACAGACCAAATTATCTCTCAAGAACTGTTATTTTATAAATTACAGCAGAACTAGAATTTTAATGTTTTCTGCTCAAAAGTGTTACTCTTTATGCATGTACATCCTCACAAAGAATAGAAAATTAGCATACTGTCCTGCATTTTCATAACTTTGCAGTTGCATTATATAATTATAACCAGAACAAATGGTCATTCAGAATTTTTCCAAGAAAAACTGTATCGATATGATTTTATATATGATATTTATAATAGACTTGATTTGAAACTTTATTTTTGGCAATTGTCATACATATGAAACCAGAAATAATAGAATAATAAGCATAATGTATGCATAAACTAGTGACAACAATTATTAATATATCACTTAATCCATAAATACTTCTACATCTGTTGCTAAAAGATGATTTTAAACATTACCGCACACACACCTGTAATCATAATAATTCTTTTGTATCACCAAATGAATGAAATAATTAAAATATAAATTTAATTCCATAGATCAGTGCTCTAAACCTGAAACTGATTTGCTATGATTTAAATAAGTTATGTATTTAACGCTTATTTAATTTTATATTCATGTCTCTTTTGAGTTAAAGATAATTTTTATATGCTGAATATTTTTAACTACTATATTAGCAGTCTGAGTACATTGGGTCAATGGAAATAACTGGATGTAATATTTTTGGTTGAAATGCTTTGTGCACTTTTCTACATGTAAATATTTAAATCTTGGATAAAGATAAGATCATACATCAATACTATATGCACTTAATATAGAGGGAACAAGATTATCCCTATATATAAGCTGTCTCTCAAAAGTTAAGCAAAACATTTTGGAAAACTAGTTGCTGGATTATTAGGGATTTTTAGCATTATTAGAAACAGAATTATACTAATTATAATTTTTATGTTTAGAAAGAGTTTTATTGTTCTCTTAGAACGTATTCATATAGAAAATTTGCATTGTGTCATTCTTAAAATGTGTTTTCTTGGGAAAGGATGTGGTGGGAGATACATAGGAAAGAGTTTCTTGCATTATTATGAAGTAATATCAGTGATATGCTGGCTTTCATCAGTTTGTGAGCCAATCAATAAACTATAAGGAATTTTGTGAGCTGATTGTTAAACACAACTGTTCAAAAAAATTAAATCATAAACAAAAGTAATACTCATCAAAACTTTTCACTTCCTAATTATTTTACAGCATTTTACTATTATCTTGTTCTTAAGGTTATTTATGCCTATTTTGCCTATATTTTGGAAATACTGTATAATAGTGTGCTACTGCACATCTCTTTTCATCTCTGCATTTAGTGATTTCATGGTGGTAGCTTGAAATCAACCATGGTACTTGCACCATGAAAATTGGGAAATTTCTTTTTTATTTTTGTCAAGCCTTGTGAGTAAACCAGCATTTACCAGCATACTACTACATTCTTTTAGTGTAATGTTTTGCTTATTTGATGACACCTTTATTTCATATATGTGTCTCAAATTGTATATCTATAGGGTGACAAAGTCTGGAAACTCAAAACTATTTATTTTAATATAACATCATTCACAGGGAAATATGACTGAAATGAAAACAAAGCACATTAAAATGAAACAATGCATAACAAGTAAACATTTTTCTTACATTTCAAGACTTTGCGGACACCTTAAATAGATACATAAATAAATTGAGTTTGTGTGTATGCTGAGATACTGTGTGTGTGCACGCACACGCATACAGTCAATTTTGGGATTCTGTATTGGCAAATTCTCTAAAATTAATACCCATTGTGCTTTTGCAGTCACTCCCAGACGTGTGCAGAGCAGTAAAAATTTTGAGTCGCCCAATCACACAGTTCTAGCTGAGGTTTGAAGAGGCAATGCTGTCTTCTTGTTTCAACAAGTATCATTTTTGTGGTTTATTTAGTGCCAGGTGTTTTGCATTTTCATGCTTGTTATTGGTGGTTTTGCTGTTTAAAATAGCCCCTAAGCATAGTGCTGAAGTGCCATTTAGTATTACTAACTGCAGGAAGGCTGTAACATGCCTAATAGAGAAAATACATGTACAGTAAGCTTTGTTCAGGCATAAGTTATAGTGCTGTTGGCCGTGAGTTCAATGTTAATGAATCAACAGTATAGTATAGTAAATAAGGTGTCTTTAAACAGAAACATAAAACGACGTATGTATTGATCAGCTGATGAAAATGTGACCAGAGGTTAAAGGAACCTAATCCTGTATTTCCCCTCAGAGCAATAGTTCATTATTTGCTAATTCAGCATTTATAGAAAATAACTATAGTGGATAACAAGAATCAACTGTATATATACATACATATTTGTTTATGCATGACATATGTTTTCAAAGTAGACTGATAAACTATTCAATACTAAATGTATACAACATGCAATTTAATGTTTTAGATGACTCAGATGGTTCATAAAAGTACATAAATATTCTAAATATTTATGACTGCAGAATTCAAATTTATATGTATCATATTTTAAGGATCATTTTCTTTTTAGATTCTTTATGATGTTAACATTAGAGTTAAAAGATAGCTTATATAGTTATTCCTCTCATTGAGTGTACTGTTTATATAGACATTTATTAAAAGAGGTTACTTCCTTGAATATTTAATTTCATGATCCTAAAAGGTTTTATCTTATTCCACCCAGATTGTATTTATGAAGCTTTAATGAATACTGCTATGGACATAGATTCCCTAGAAGCAGACTCACATTTAGATGAAGTCTGGATCAAAGAAGTGATAAAGAAGGCAGGGATGAAGTTAAAATGGAGCAAATTAAAACAGGACAAAGTCAGAGAAAATAAAGATGCTGTGAGAAGGTAAAACATAACCATATCTACTGGGGGAAGGAGATCACAGTTTTATTCACACTTTTTAATGGAAAGATTTGCTTTAAATTTTCTTTTGCAATTAAAATGATGTGTGAATATAGGTCATACTTTTCTTCGAAGTGCTTAAAACATCAGAAAGTATATTCAGGTTATTGTAAAACTCTGAGGATTATTTTTCTTAGTTTTCCAAATATGTATATTGATAATGAATTTTAAAAATTTATTCAGTTCTGCTCATGATTTTGAAGATGCCAACTTTAGGTGGGCAGTGATGTATTTTGTCATACATCATTGTATGCATAGAAGAAGAAAATAGTTATGCCTAATCAAAGCTGAATGTTGGGTTTTATTGTTAACAGTAGTTCACAGAGATAATGCAAACCAGTTCACCAGCTATAAAGTGTTTCTGATGTTGAAGAAATGAAATTCCTTTGCTATTAATTGTAGGCCCCATGCAGATCCAGCTTTATTAACCCCAAGGTCCCCAGTTGTTACTATAATGGGCCATGTTGATCATGGGAAAACAACGTTACTTGACAAACTGCGAAAAACTCAAGTGGCAGCAACGGAAGCTGGAGGCATCACTCAACACATTGGTGCCTTTCTTGGTATGAACACAAATTACCTTACAGTGTGCTTGGCAACTCCACATATTTTCTTAAACCAGATGTCATAGTATGAAATATACAAATTCAAAGTAAAAGGGGGGGAAAAAAACAAAGCGAAAGGGAAGGATAAAAGTTAAAGCCATTGGTTTGATGAAACGTAGAGCAGATGGTTAATAAAGGTTATTCTGTATATTCTATAAGAAGCAAATTATATTACCGTTTTATTCTAGCCCATTTTTAGTTTGATTTAATGAACTTAAATTCCTCAGTGCTAGGTTGTGATAATGTTGCTAATGATAATTAAATAACAGCTATCATGTACTGAGCACCTAGCATGTGCCTAGCACTGTCCTGAGCACCTTATATGCTTATATTCCATATTTTCAAAACAGAATCATGAGGTAGGTATTAATATTCCTACTTACAGATAAGGAGGATGAGGCTTGCTTAGGTTAAATTACTTGCTCAAGGTACACAGCTAGTAAGTGACAAAGCTGTTGGACTCAAATCCTGAGCTACTAACTGTATACTAAATTGTCTTTGTTGCTCAAGGCAGTTGTGCAGCTGATGTTTGCTCATGTAGAGATGGCTGCCAATATAACTATTGTTGTGTTTTTTCTCCAGAATAGATATCAGTTGGTACATTTATGAAAGTAGTTATATTCTAGAAATATGAAGAGTTTTAGTTTGAACTTTTACATGAAAAGAAAACCCTGCAGGTCCCACTGGTATCACTTTCTGTTGTGAAATGATCTGTATTCTGATTAAGGTAAATGGAAGGAATAAAATTATTTTAAAGCATTTTTGTGTTTGATAATGTCACATATATTCCTTCATGTTGAAGAGGTCCGTATTTGAGTCCTTGCTGTTCTTGGATTTCTGTTTCCACAGTCTCTCTGCCTTCAGGGGAAAAGATAACCTTTCTTGATACTCCAGGACATGCTGCTTTCTCAGCAATGAGAGCCAGAGGTGCTCAGGTCACTGACATTGTCATATTGGTAGTAGCTGCAGATGATGGTGTGATGAAACAAACTGTAGAATCTATTCAGCATGCCAAAGATGCTCAAGGTACTGTGTGTCTGTGGTTGACTTACAAGAATCACTGTTTTGGGGCCATGTATGTTGTAGCTCATTTAATCTGCATGGCAGTCCAAGGATTATTATACTTGTTTTACAGATGAGGCTCAAAAACAGTTGAATTGTTTTCCCACAGATATAACTACTAAGAAGAATGTTGCAGGATTCATTTTGGGATTTGTGATCACTAATACAGTCCTTCCTCTACTGTCTACTTACTTGGCATAGTATGAGAATATGACAGTCTCAAATAACTTTTTAAAAAAATTTTTATCATGGAAATTCTAAACAGATGTAAAAGTAAGAATAGAATAATGAACCTCCTTGTACCCATCACCTAAATTCATTAGAAATTTCAAAGTGATGATATTCTAAATCTGTTATTCCTTGTTCATTCATCTTCTGGACTTCTCTAAAGGGAAACTTTCCCCTCATCTACATTAAATAAATTCTTATTTGGTCAAAAGTATAAAATTGAAACTTTCGGAAAATTACTTAGCTATTTTCTCGCTTATTTTTTTTTTCATTACAAAATTGTAATATACACATACTCTGTACATTCGTTCTTATTCTGATGTGACTCTATACCCGCTAAGAAAATACTGTTGTCTTAAGAAAATGTACCTGATGGAGTACATCATATTCACCTAAGTTTGTTCGAAAAGAAAAAAAAAGGTTGAGAATCACCAATCTAGTCAAATTCTGTCATCTCACAACATGAAAACTAAGACCCAGAGAGTGTTAGGAACTCCCCTCATTACAGTTAATTGGCAGCATGAATCTGATCTTCAAGCTTCCAATGTCACTCTCTTTCTAATTCCTTAACATTGCTTTTGTGGAATGGACTATATTCTTAATGATTCTAGGGTATATAACAAAAAGAAGAGAGTGAAAAACTTGCCAGGGATCCCATAACAAAGAACAAAGTAGTTGGTTGAGATAGAATAAATCCTTCACATCGTGCTTTCCATACTTGTTCTCTTGATTTCTGTTAAGTTCCAGCTCATCAATAGGGAATGTGCTTTTCGATAATAGTAGGTTGTGGATTGCATAACTCTTTTTGTGTCTGTTCCTTTGATACCTGAAAAAATTGCAGATTTGGTGAAACCCAACCAGAGAATTATCTCTTAGAATGTTGCATGATTTCTGTAATGAGAAGATATGTTTACTAATGACAAGTAGATTTTAAGGTTATTTAGTTCATTCATTAAGTAAATATTTATTGAGAATATACTATGCGTCAGTCACTTAGCTAAATGTATGAATAAAGAATTTGCTATCAGTCCTAACAGTTTACAATAATAATACTTAATTTCACCCCAGGGCAAGATGTTAGATTTTAACAATGTGTTAATACTTCCTGGGAAGAAGAGGCAAATCATCTAGTGGTATTAGAATTGAATTAGAATCGTCTCTTTACTTTTTTCTGGAGATTATCTCCAGTGTAGTTGCTGATCTTGCCTTCAAATTATAGGCCTTTCTTCACCCAAAATACTGTTTTGTTTTGTTTTTTAAAATCATCTTAGGTTTGTGGTCTTAATTCAGAATCTACTTATAATTAGTTTTGGTATCTCACACCTGGAATCTTATACATAGAAAGCAGAGTGAGGTGGGTCTAACGTGGGTCTTTTTAGGTGTTTTGAGTCTATTCACTGAGTAAAGAAAAAGCCAGAAAAGATTGGTGTCTTCATTGTGAATACCTAGAATTGAAGGTGTCATCATTTACACTCTTCTTAACTCTTTCAGTGCCAATTGTCCTTGCCATAAACAAATGTGACAAAGCTGAGGCTGATCCTGAAAAAGTGAAAAAAGAACTGCTAGCTTATGATGTGGTGTGTGAGGATTATGGAGGCGACGTTCAAGCAGTGCATGTCTCTGCACTTACGGTAAATGCAGGTATCTCGTAGATGATGTGTTCAAATGGGAATGCACATAGTGCATTATACCTAAAGAACATTTTGACGTACATAATGTCTTTTGTTGTTTAAAAATTCTCTAGGTACTAGGCAAAAGCTGGTATCATTATTCTGGTTTGGTAGGTTAGAAATTAGGCTCAGAAAGGTCAGTCACCAATCCGGGGCTACATAGCTAGCTGATCAGTGGAGAATCAGGTCTAAAATTAATGCTTTTCTTTTTATAAGATACTTAGAATGAGGAGAATAAATGGTGAATGATGTGAGGATAGGGTAATATTAGGCTAAAGACTGTTTTAAGCAGAAACGAAATCCAGCTGGTAATAAAAAGTGATTGTTTTTAGTGAAAAAACTATAGAACAGGTCCTAGGACATTTAAGAGAGATTTAAACAAATAACAATTTCACTAATACAAACATGAAACATTTGAATTCAGTTTGTAATGATTGACTCAATGTTTTAATTAATTAAATTTCTATAAGTCTTTAATGTTATTTAAATTTGCGTTTACATTACCAATTATTCTTTTCTGGTTGAAAAACACTAAGGAAGCTCAGTACCTGCTCTGTGATAGCATTTTCCAATTCTCTTTTTCTATACAGGTCACTGCTAAGCAACAATTTACTTTTTTGTCCATTCTCATATTCTGCAGTTTACTTGTAATACAGACTTTTTTCACCCTGATCATTCACTGAAGGGACGATACTATATTGGCCATCTTTCTCCAGTTCAGTCTCATTTTATCTTTACTTTTCCAAATACGTTATCTCCAACATACTTAGAAATTATGCCTCTATTAATAGTAAAACAATTCCTCTTTTTCTCTGAAACTCATAAAATGCCACCTTTGTTATATTTCTATTATACCTTGATTGCTACTGCACTCTGAAAGCCAGATGGCAAGATTAAAACATTTGAAGACATGGCCACCTTTTCTGCCCAGATATCATCAAATGAGTAGATAGATGTAAAGCTACTTAGGCAAATTTGGAGGCATGGCAGAGATGATTCCTGGGGAATGGAGGGAATTGGGGGAGAGTGGCAGAGAAGTAAGATGAGGCCTTCTTTTCCAAGGTAGATATAGAAGACTATGTCATGCAAAGAAACAACCCCAGCTCTGCTTTTCAGAGCAGCATTTTATAAATTGGAATAAATACTAGGATTAAATAGATGGGTAGCAAAATATTCATTCAGTTTTGTTTAAAGTTGTTTCTGTTGTTTTATAGTCTGTAAAAAATGTGAGGAATCTCTTAGCTGACATAGAGAATGGAAAAATCACTTGCCCATCTGTTCCAGTTCCATCACCAGTTGATCAAGCTGCATGATCTTGGAGCCCTAGAAAGCATAGTAAACAGATCATTAAAAGTGAAAGAATCATCTAATCTACTCTTTAATTTTACAGGTGAGGAAAGGAGATCTAGGGAGGTGAAGTGATTTTTCAGGGTTGCATAGCTGGGTAGTTAATGGATCAGATGAAAAAGTAGATGTAAACGCTTATTCACTTGGATAGAACTTCATTGTAAAGTAGAATTGTAAAGAAGGAAAACACAATTGTAGAGACAGATGGAGGGGGGAGTAAATGAATGAAGCATGTTTATGGAAGGATATTAACAAGCACCACTAGAGGCCATCCTTAAAAAAAAAAAAAAAATAGCCACTGTTTCTTGCAAGATCTTTCCCTGAATCAGATTTTCTTGCTCCTCCCTCCCTCTTCTCCCCACTTCTTTCCAATTGGATAAGTCATGCTTTTAATGCTTAAAAAGTATAACTGTCAAAGATTATTTGGCTTTCTGACCCTGGTACTTAACATTTACAGATAATATTTATTAATGTATATTAACAATGTTTTGTTGTTGTTGTTATTAAAGGGTGATAATCTGATGGCTTTGGCAGAGGCAACAGTTACTCTTGCGGAAATGTTAGAATTGAAAGCAGAGCCCACTGGTCCAGTGGAAGGAACGGTAATAGAATCTTTCACAGACAAAGGAAGAGGGTAGGACTGTTACAATGCTTGCTTTTTAATAATTTTATTTCATTGTTTTGTGACTCGATTATATAACTGTATTTTGATTGAATGATATGTTAGTCCATGAACCATATTTTGAAAGCATTTGTTTTGAAAACTATTATTACACTAGCACACAGAACACAAAAATGCAGTTAGCAGTAGACCATAGCAACTATCTGCATACATCTAATAGTTGTAGTTAGATGACTTAAGTAGTTCAATTTGTTTAATTTTTTCCCCTACTGTCTTAACTGAATTGGTAAAGCCTCATAGACTGACATAAATTGGAATGAAATAGCAATTATTGCATTTTAGGGTTTCCAAATTTTTTGTATCCTTATCCATTAATATAATATATAGGAAAGTCTTTTGAATGATGTTCTCTTCTTTAATTCCTTCCCTGTCAGAAGAGGTCTCACTGCTTAACTAATTAGTTATAGAAAAAGGATTAGGATTCTGTCAGAGCACTCAACTATCTGCACCCCTTAGTACCATAACCTTACAAGAAATGTTTTTTTTTTTTTAAATGTCTTATTGTAGTAAAGACACGTTACATTAAATTTACCATCTTAATCACTTTTAAGTGTACTGTTCAGTAGTATTAAGTATATTAACAGTGCTGTACAACAGATCGCTAGAATTTTTTCATCTTGTAAAACAAACTCTATACCCATGAAACACTAATTTCTCCTCTTTCCCCTTCAGCCCTTGACAGTGTCTTTCCATTTTCTGTTTCTGTGATTTTGACTACTTTAGATACTTATATGAGTGGAAGCATACAGGATCTGTCCTTTTTGTTTGGCTTATTTCACTTAGCATAATGACCTTGAGGTTCATTTATGTTATAGCATGTGACAGGATTTCTTTTTTTTCTTAAGGTTGCGTATATACTGCATTTTCTTTATCCATTCTTTTGTTGATGGGCATTTGGGTTGCTTCCACCTTTTAACAATTGTGAAATGTTTTCATAGTATGAAAAACTGCTTGAGAAGTTGAGAAGTAGCGGAATTAACCCTGTATGTACATAAGATATATTTTTAAATCTCATAAAGATATCTTTGCTCTATTTAAGAAAGTGCTATTATTTCTTGATTATAGCATTAAGACTATATACTTTTTTTTTCGTTTTAGTCCTGTTACTACAGCAATAATTCAAAGAGGAACTTTGAAAAAAGGCTCAGTTCTGGTTGCTGGAAAGAGTTGGGCAAAAGTACGCTCAATGTTTGATGAAAATGGAAAAACAATTAATGAGGCCAGTCCCAGCATGCCTGTGGGAATTATAGGCTGGAGAGACCTCCCTTCTGCAGGAGATGAAATTCTTGAAGTAGAATCTGAGGTATATCAAGCTTAATTCCTATTATTAGATATGATATAGTGATTTTAAATATCAATCTATAATATCATACCCAATAAGTATAATATGTTAACAAATCATTCTAGACTATAAGGGGCTATGAGAGGGCCAGTGGTGCCATTTTAGAATTTGGCTATAGAATTTTTTTAAATTTGAGATAGAATTTTTAAATTAAATAATTTTAATTATACAGAAAGCCCCCAAACCAAAGTTTTGAAATTTACAAAATTAATGGTTTCATATATGAGTTAAGCTAATTTCATAATGTGGGAAAAACACAAAGCTTTTAACTCAGCAGTTACTGGTTTCTATTTAGTTAAATAATTCCTTTTTTTTACCTGTAAAGCCAAGGGCACGTGAAGTTATTAATTGGAGGAAGTATGAGCAAGAACAGGAGAAAAATAAAGAGAATCTGAAAATAATAGAAGAAAAGCGAAAGGAGCACCAAGAAGCACATCGGAAAGCCCGTGAGAAGTATGGTACTTTGCACTGGAAGGAGAGATCGTTTATAAAGTACCAAGAAAAGAAGGAACAAAAACCCTTAAAGCTTAAAGAGAAAGCAGAAAGAGATTCACATGTACTTCCTATAATTATTAAAGGTGACTTTTTAAAGATTTTACTTTATAACTCATTTTTGGAATATATGTATTTCTTTATTCTCATAATTAATTTGGGCCATTAAATTTAAGCCAAAATTATTTCAGTATTTTGGAGGAGACCTTTTTTATTGAGGTATAATTGACATATAACATTATATTAGCTTCAGGTATACAACATAATGATTCCATATTTGTATATATTGCAAAATGGTCACCACAGTAAATCTAGTTAACATCCATCACCATACATAGTTAGAAAATTTTCTTCTTGTGATAAGAACTTTTAGGAACTATTTTCTTAGCAACTTTCAAATATGCAATACAGTATTATTAACTATAGTCACCATGCTATACATTACCTCTTCATGACATTTTATAACTCGAAGTTTGTACCTTTTGACACCCTTCACCTTTTTGCCCACCCCCTACTGGGGGAGATTTTCTTAATAAACATTTTTCTTCTCGATTCTGTTGTAAATGTACATTTGGTCCATACTTTATTAAATTAAGTAGACATTTATAATGCTAACCCTAAATAAAAGGTGATTTAGTGGTAAATGCCATTTTTCTTAGGGTTTTAGATAGATTATTGTCATTTTTGTATCTATTAATGTCTGACTCTTAACACCAATAATTTTAAACTTTTGCTGCATTTAGGTGATGTTGATGGTTCCGTTGAGGCCATTTTGAACATTATGGATACCTATGATGCTTCACATGAGTGTGAACTAGAATTAGTACATTTTGGTGTGGGTGATATTAGTGAAAATGATGTTAACCTTGCTGAAACTTTTCATGGTAAGGATTCCATTTTCTATTTGTTTAACTGTGTTCCCTACTACATACTGTGAATAATTTTCTTCTGTCTTTTGTTGCTTGGCATTTATGTGACATCGACCCCATCAGCATCACCTTTCCTATTGCAGGCAAGTCTCAGCTACCAAATGAGGGTGGAGGCGATGTACATTATTTTAGCCATTGCTCCACTTGTTATACTGCATCCTTGGGGAACTATTTCAAGCCCCAGTAGTGTTTCTTGATTTTTTTTTTTTTGAAGGTACCATTACTATCCTCTCTCTCCACTCCTCTCACTCAACCCAAGGTTGATTATCTATCTTTCATTTAGACTTTTGAATGCTCCTAACTGTAATCAGTCTATTCAGTACTTTCCTTCATTTTTTTTTTTTTTGGCTACCTATTTTTGTTTGTTGATAATTTTACAAATCAAATATTGCTTAAATCAAACACTCCTTTTAGCTTTAAATTCCTACAAGGCAGGGGATGGTTTATTAGTCAAACTCATGATACACAAAAAGGGGACTCATGACTGTCTCTTTAACTAGGTCTAACCTAGCAAAGCACCAACACTTTTGAGTGATTAATGAATCATTTAGGAAGGAGGTACTTCAAGGACCTGACTTGATTAGAACTAAGTGTTGTCTCTACTATTGAAAAGGTATTTTCAGTAATGCTGGTTAATTCAAAGTATTTTATGGGCACTGACTAGCCTAGGATTGTACTGTGTAATATAGATAGTGTATTGAATGACTTCTTAATGATGACTTTCAAGGTCATTGTTTTTCTTTTGATTAAGCTGTTTGCATTAATTTTTTCCATTTGTTTAATACAAGAGTGTTTTGCTTTTTTCTCCCGCAAGATATTTGCCTTTAAATACATTATTTGTTCTTTGGTAAAATGGTCAGCTTCATAGAACTTCTTTCATTTCTGATATAGCTCTTGAACTTTACCAATTAAGTAACTATTTTTGAGCATCTTTTGGCCCCCGAATACCTAGAGGTAAACAACAGAAGTTGTAGACAATAAGATTAGAATTTAATATTGGAATTAAATGTTCATAAAATAATATAATAATATTTCAGCCCTAATCGATTTTTTCTTTCTGGTATGAAAAGCAAAGCTTTGTTTAGCATTGTGTCTTACACACTATGGGCTCTTAATATGTTTCTTAAATTAATGGATTTAAAAATCATAAAGAAATTTTCCTTATTAACAAGCCACAATAGAATTTATAAAATCCTTTTGCAATTTGAGAATTTACTAGTTTCCATGAGAAAAAATTATAGAATTTCTCATTTCCCCTACTTGCTTTTGTAGAAAAGTAATTTATGTAGAAAGAAATAATATAGATTTGAGTTTCTGCTTGAAAGACAGACTGTTTAATGCAGTATTTGTGCTCCTTTATTGATCGTATTTCTGCTTACCAGGTGTTATATATGGCTTCAATGTGAATGCAGGCAATGTTATCGAGCAGTCAGCTGTAAAAAAAGGAGTAAAAATTAAACTTCACAAAATCATTTACCATCTTATTGAAGATTTGCAGGAGGAATTGAGCAGCAGATTGCCCTACACTGTGAAAGAACATATAATAGGTGAGTGCTCATTGCATGTTACTTTTAAATATTTATATCTTAGGTGCTATAAATAATACTTGGAAGCAAAGTTTAGAGGAAATGTATTTCACTGTTGAAATAAATTCACCGTTCCAGTACATATATTCTGTGTTCTAAAAAAAAATGACTACGTAAGAATTCAGTGTAAATTCATATGTATTATTAACACCTGCCCTCTGCAACACGTTATGCTTAGGCCCTAAGGATACAAAGCAAGTAAGGCATTAAGAACTTGCCCACAAATTTAGACAGGAACAACTAATTGTAATATAAATTAGACTGGGGTGGGAGACGTAAAGGTCAACGTGTCTTGGAAGAAGCCATTGATTCTGTCTTGGAGCTGCAGAGAAATCCACCATGAAAAGGAAATTTACATTTAAATATTAAATATTTAAAAATATTCTTCCTAGCATATCCAGATTACAGGCTAAATTTACTTAAGATGACTGAATCATTTTGTTCTTTTTCCTCCCCATATACATGCTTTTTTAACTTTTGATTTTGTTTTAAATTTCCAGAAAAATTAAAAGTGTAAGGAACTCCTTCCCATATACCCTTTACCCACTTCACCAATTGTTTACATTTTGCCCCATTTACTTTCCCCACCTTTTTTTCTGTAGCATTTGATAGTAAATTTGATACTGTATCTGTTTGCTAGTAAACACTTTACATTTCCTAAGCACAAGGATGTTCTTTTATAAAACCATCAGACAAATATTAAACTCGGGAATTTTAACATTAGTACTATTAAGCCACAGTCCAGATTCAAATTTTGTCATTGTCCCAATAATGGCCTTTATAGGTATATATTTTTCCTTCAGTCCAGGATCATGGATTACATTTAATTCTTCAGTCTATTTTGCCTTTGACAGTTTGAAGTGTATTGTCTGGTGACTTTGTAGAATGTACTTTAATTTGGATTTGTCTGTTTCCTCAGGATGAGATTCAGTATTTGCATTTTTGGTCTACAAAACAGATATTTTAGGCTTTTCTGACTTGCTTAACATGATCATACAGAAGTTTGTATGTTTTTATGCTAACAGCAATTTGTAAAACTATGTCATATGAGGATTTCTAGGAGTAAGCAAGCACCAAATAATACTAACCTTGGAAAGTTGGTACATTATAGTGAGTGGTACCATGTCATTATTGGAATTTGTTTTAATTTTTAGTCAGTGAAAAAACTAAGCTGAGTCACAGATTAAGTACTCTTAAGTGGATATAAATTACATGGTGAAATTAAAAATAAATCAGATAACAGATGATCTGTTCTAGAAAATATATTGAAGTACAGTTGAAAACTAGGTTTTCATGGAGCAGACAGGAATTACATTAATCTTATCAACTATTATCATCTTCTAGTGCATTTTATTCAGCCAAAATAAAATCATTCATCCTTTTGGTAAGCATGTGTTTTTGTGATTTTCTTTTCCAAGAATATCCAAGCATTTTTCTGTAGTTCTAATGTTGGTCAGGAAAATAAAGTTGATGGAGTCAAAGAAAAACCAGGACATCTTTCTATGCACAATTTGTATTTTTCTCACACCTTTAATTCTGCCTTGCATAATGTCAGAAATATTTCTCAGTCTTTTGTATTCTGTACTTAATATTATCTTCTTCCTAAAGGTGAGGCTTCTGTACTTGCTACCTTCTCCGTAACAGAAGGGAAGAAAAAAGTTCCTGTGGCTGGATGCAGAGTCCAAAAGGGACAGTTAGAAAAACAAAAAAAATTTAAATTAATCCGTAACAGACAAGTTATTTGGAAGGGTAAGCAACATCAAAATTTGTTTCTATTTCATATCCAGTCACCAAAATCTGACAATCTTGAGTAACCATTTGAAATCCATCTTTCACTCTTATAATCCTAGTTCAGGCCACTCCTTCTTGCTCATAACTGGTCTCCACTTGTTGGGTTCCTTCTTTACTAGTTCTGATGACTATACCAGGATCGTTAGTTCCCTAATCCAATTTTTTAAAATTCTAAAAATTCGCCCCAAACTATCTTTCTAGCCATGTCTCCTACACTTGATCTACATCGGTATACCTGCTTATTTCCATCCTTTAACTTGACATTTTGCCTGCAGTCTTTTATCCTGTTTCTCATTAAAGGCCTGAGTACAATCCCATCCTCTGCAATCTTGGTCTATCTTTAAAATGGGGCATTTAGTATTTTTCATTACAGATCTTTATAACAAACTTCATTTTCCTTTGGTTTCCCTGGTATTTAATCCTGTCATTTAACAGTAGTAAGAATTTAATTTTCAACACCAGGCTACATAGCTGTTAGGAGATGCTTATTATTTGTTGAATATATGAATCTTATTTCTTTTAAGGCACACTGACCTCACTGAAGCATCATAAAGATGACATTTCAATTATCAAAACTGGAATGGATTGTGGCCTCAGTTTGGATGAAGAAAAGATAGAATTTAAAGTGGGAGATGAAATTGTTTGTTATGAAGAAAAGGAAGTTCTAACCAAGACCTCTTGGGATCCAGGATTTTAATATTATTAAGAATGTAAAAGATTAAATGTCTTGCTTTATTATAGAGCAACTAATACAGTTTTGCTTTATTAAAGGTTCACCTCTACTGGTCAAAAACTACCCAAGTAGTTCATCCAAGCGTTAACATGCGTAACTGTTGAAACAGAGAAACTTATTTAAGGATGTCTCCAACCAGAAATCCTGATGTTAGTAATATGGTAAAAGGGAATTATTGGCCTATCATTGACAGTGATCAGTTAGTAAACTTGAAAAGCATGTTTTAAGAGTATTAAGACAAGCAGTCCTCCCTGAATTGAGCTACATGGGCAAAATATGGAACCAACCAAATACTGCTTAAAACAGTTTTGTGTCAACAGTACTATTGAGCAAATACTCCTAAGAGTTCATGCTCAACACTGAGCACTAGTATATTCCTGCGCACTAAAGACAGCAAACACCCCAGGCAGGTCACCTAGGGCAACTTTAAGCTCAGCCTTTAAATTTCCTGTGTATGAAACAAATGTCATAGCCTCTTTTTAGGCAAGGTCACACCAATTCACACACATCACTTCCTCAGTGGAGGCGTGGGGTGGGCAATTCCCACTCCAGGGCTCATTTGGCAATGTCTGCATTGCCTACATTTTTGACTGTGGTAATGGTGGTGAGGTGCTACTAGCATCATGTGGGTAGAGACCAGGGATGCTGTTCATCATCGTATGATGCAAAGGACAGCCCCCAAACCAAAGAATTATCTGGTCCAAGTGTCAATAGTGCTAAAGTTAAAAAACGGACAGAAACATGAACTGGTTTATATTTAAACAGCTGATAGTAAATATGACAGAACTCTTCTGTCAAAGTATAGTTTATCAAAGAAAATGGTGTGATCAATTTGATGCTTAAAAAAACTCCACTAGAATAAAACTCAACGATTAAATGTAGTTCATGTATTTTATTAATTCATATAAAATTACTTGTCTTCCGGTTTATTGAAGCAATAGGTCAGACAACATTTGCCACAATAATGTCTGTCAAAGTGGCTGGCCATAAAAACTCCAGCGCCACATTCATCTGAAGGGCACTCCCGACGAAGGCGACTGATTTTGCCATTCTCATCCACCTAAAAAGTACAAACATGTTAATTTTACAACATATTCCGAAGTCTAAGTGACTCAATTTTAATTTTTTAATCACACAGTAAAACTAGTTCTTAGTACTTATAAACCAAAGCACCCCCAATCCTCACCAGTAGTCACAACAAAATTCAAAGTTCATTAAAGTCCAGCCTTGCTAGGATAGACAGAGCCAAGTCCTAAACCTAGATGTGACTTCAAAATCAAAACCCCAGTTTGGAACAAGGAGTTAAAAGTGAACCCCATTATATAAAGCTCAAATACTAAAGAGGAAAAAAACTTAAAAGAGTTTGAAGACAGGCGAATAAAATTTATTAATCTATAGGTAAAAACTTAATTGGCCTACCTTATAGTATTTCAGAACAGCCAGCTTAACCTTCTTTCTCTTATGCTTATTCTTCTTGGGAGTGGTGTAAGACTTCTTCTTCCTTTTCTTAGCACCACCACGAAGTCTCAACACAAGATGAAGAGTGGACTCCTTTTAATGAAAGAGCATGAAACATGCTTTAAAAACTATTACATTAATGCTCATGCTCCACAACTAGCCTCATGCTTCTTCTAATTGGGTGCAGTGGGAAGCACACACCACCACAGATGAGGGGTGCCTTAGAAGGAAAAGAAAGAGGCCTCTGATTCTTAATTACTTTACAGGGAGATTAAACACATTATACCATGGGATGCAATCTGCAAAATTCAATGCGAGAAACTATAATAGCGCTTCACAAATATTAGTGTACGAGTCACCTGGGAATCTACTATTACTCAAATAACACTTTCCCCACTTTTGTGTATTGGTCAAAATTTTTAACATTCATATTTAAAGGGCTGTTCTTTCCTCCAAACAGACCTTTTGAATGTTGTAGTCAGACAAAGTACGTCCATCTTCCAGTTGCTTGCCCGCAAAGATCAGTCTTTGCTGATCAGGAGGAATTCCTAATGCAAAAATAAAACAAACCGAACAAATTAAGTCACAGCAGAACAAGCATATCTGCTCAAGTTTTACAAATAATCCTGAATAGAATGGTACCAATAGCTGTTAAAGAGTTCTTGTTCTTAACTGTAGGATAGGCATGATTTTAAATGTTTACTAATTTTATCATGTAGTTTAAACAATATTTAATACATATTGAAGGGGCATAGATAAAGCTCAAATTCACACATGTGAAATGCACTGCACCTTGGCTACATGCTCATAAACGTTTGTCTACCGTGTTATTCGAAAGGCAATTTCACTTTATCTGACCTCTTCCCATCCCACCAAAAGCAGGTATGTCTAGCGCCCAGAGGTAGGCTGGAGCCCTTGGAGGTTAATATTTCCAGACTAGAAAACATTACTTGCCTTCCTTATCCTGGATCTTGGCCTTTACATTTTCTATTGTATCCGAGGGTTCAACCTATGAGTTTTAAAATGCAAATATATAGGTAACGCAGTCACAAACTAGACGCTCAATATGAAGGTCACCACGAAACCGAGTCAGGTGAGGTGGCTGAAGCCTCAACAGAAGTGATCACACAGCCGGTGTCACCTCTCAGGACTGCCACGGGCAAGCACACTTCCCCAGCTCAGCCCGGGGAAGGCGGCGGCGGTGGCGGCGGCTGGAGCACACGTGCTCGCGCCCACCAGGCCCGGGGCACCTGGCTGGGCGCGGGACCCCTGGTTTGATCGTCAAGCCGGCACCACTGGAGTTGAAAGGCCCAGACTTCAGGCATGGAAAACTAGCCCTTGGCCCCTGCTCAGCAAACAACTCCCAATTCAGGGACAGCTTTCGGAGCCCAGACTCGGAAACATGTTCTTAAGCGAAAGTGCCAGTCTGGAAATCCACCTCAGGCCCACATTCGGGCCCTAGCTTCCTCAAACCACTTGGCCCATACCTCGAGAGTAATGGTCTTCCCCGTAAGGGTTTTCACGAAAATCTGCATCTTGGCGGCGGTTCCACCTGAGGTGGAGGGAAAGAAAGAGCGAGTTAGAGCTGGGGACACAAAAAGGGCGACAAATAAGTCGCTGGCCGGGGTAACAACCGAGAAGCACACACTCACCGCAGATGGCGGATCGGAAAGAAAGAGCGCCGCGCACGCCCAAAGGCTTCCCGGTGCCCCGCTGGAGGCCCCACCTCTTAGGAGACCACACCAAATGCCTGACTGCTGCCACAGCGGCTGTCTAAGCATGTGCCAGATTAGCTCGTGAACCTCATTTCTTCTCTCCTTACCCCGGGCTTATTTCTCACTTTAACCTCCAGAATTCTCTCGATGTAGAAGATTTGAACAACTTAAAAATATCTTTAAAAGGCTTTTCCCATACAGTGCACGTAGCTAAGAGGGTCTTTTCAAGGGGGTGGTGCCTCAGTGAGGAAAAGGAGAAAAATGGAAGTGTCTTCTGGGAATTGTAGTTTTCCACTGCTCTCTCTGCGCTAGGACTACTTGTCCCAAGATGCAGTTCCACACCCTCAGGTTCCCTAGTTACTATCTCCAAGGCCTGGAGTTGGGGCTTGGAGAAAGGGATAAGGTGAGGAAGGGGGCCGGGCGAAGCGGAGTAATGGTTTTGGGAAACGTGGAAACGACTCGGAAATAACTAGGAGGAAAGGGTAAGAGGTTGGGGAAGGATAGAGGCTTGAAAGTATCATTTACCCACTTACGGAGGCGGTTAAGGGCGGACGATCAGCCATCTATCACCAGCTGTTCCCTGGGCCTGAAAGAAGGGAATTCCTATGGCTAACTCCAGGCAAACTGAAAAATAAGTGGTATCTTCAAAAAGCTCGGTTCATCCTTTTCTCGCTCTGTAGCCCCTCCCCCTCCTTCACCCTACCCTCGGCCCCCCACTTCGCCAAAGTCTCTAGTCTAAGAAAGGTTCTGGGCCTGTGTGTCACTCCTTAGTGTGAAACGTTTTTCATATGTTGAAAATCTTAAGAGTTTTCAAATTTTGAAATGAAGCCATACGAGAAAGAAACCTGTAGAATGTTTATTTAGTTGTCGAATTTCCAAATTTTGACTTTGGAAGTGGTGGTTAAGGTCTTAAGAGGAAGATTTTGGAGTGTGTGTAGGGTGCTCTCTTAAAAGGCAGTCCAATTAGAAGCGAGTTATGTCCTTACCTTAGCCTTTCTCCACTGTACAAGCCACAGAATACTTTCTAATGTACCCTTCTAATGTCATCTCTTTTTATCTCAATGCTTTCCCCTCAGCATCCCCATCACCAAATTCAGGACCTCTTAGTTTTCTCCTGGAAGGGTTCAGTATCTGACTTCTAACCTATATCTGGACTCTCTGCTTTTCTAACCCACCTTCATTTTTGCCTTCCAAAACATTCTGAAAAGTAAGAATGATGATGTCATTCCATTTTACCTCAGGATAAAAGTACAAATTCCTTAGTATGATATTCAGCCTCTGCCTCCCCTACAGCCTAATCTGCCAAACCTATTACTTGCTTTATACTGTAATAATATTGAACTAGTTAAAGTTCCTGACTTATGCTCTCTCGTGCTTTGGCACCTCTGAAGAATCCATTTTTCCCCCAGAACATGCTTTGTCCCCTATTCTGCCAACTAATCACCTTTACAACAAAACTCCTTGAGAGAGATACCTGTCTCCAGTTCTTCCCCTTCCATTGACTGAACCCACTCCTATCAGGCTTTGTTCCCACCATTCTAGTGAAATATTTCTTATGGTCACTTAATCATCTCCATGTTGCTAGGTTCAGTGGTCATTTGGTCATATTTGATCTGTCAGCAGCATTTGAAACAGTTGATCACTCTCTCTGAAGCACTTTTCTTCACCTGACTTCTAGGATACCCCTCTCACTTCTACCTCCCTGGACACTGTTTTACAGGTTCTTTCGCTGCTTCCTTTTGAACCAGCAGACTTCTAAACTTTGGGGTACCCCCAAGGTCCAGTCATTGGACCTCTGCTTTGTTTATGTTTCCCAGGTCATTTTCATTCTCTTATAACTTTTAAATACCATTTTATCTGCAGATGACCTAGAAACTTATCTCTTACTCAGACCACTCACATGAACTCCAGCTTACATATCCTGCTGTCTACTCAATATCTCTAATAGGCAGGCCCCAAACTACTGATCTAATGAAATTTTTCTTCCCACCTCCATAAATTGCAATACCTATCTTTCTAATCTATAAGACCAAAAACTTTGTAGTCATCTTTTATTGCTTTCTCGTACGCACATCTAATCCCTCAGCACAGATTCTTTGCTTTATTTTAAATGTATATGCAGTACACCTCTCACCATCTCTACTGTTATTACCATGATTCAAGCCACCATTATCTTTTGGCCAGATTATTGCCCAGATTATTGCAACAGGCTTCCTAACAGTTCTTCAGGTTTGACCTTTGTCTTCACAGAGTGGCAGAGTGATTCTTTAAAATATGAGTCAGCTGTCACCCTTCTGCCCACAGCCCTACAATGGCTTCCCATTTCAGAGTTAAGTCAACATTCCTATGAGTGAGGCAGTCACTCCAGCACTGGAGTGATTGGAGACCACAGTCCACTGCTTCTCTTGCCAAGTATGCCCAGAAAAAGGGCACCTTTTTCTAACCCTCACAAAGGTGCCCCATGGGCTGGTAGTAGTCTTGACTTCAAGGCCCTGTATCCTACATGATCTCTCGCCTCGTCTCTTTCTTCTCTCCCTTTCTCATTCTCTTCCAGCTCTACTGGCCTTCTTCCTGTTCTTCAAACATACTGTCCTGCCTTGAGGCCTTTGGACTTGCTGCTCTCTCTGTCTCAACCACTCTTCTCCCAGGAATCTACATGACCTTTTTTTTCCTCAGATTTCTGCAGTGTCACATTATCAGCAAGAGCTTTCCTCTTTCCTGACTTAATGCCTTATATAAAATAGCACACCTCACCTTCCTTATTCTTTAGCACTCATTTCTGTTTTACTTTTCCTCATACAGCTTACTGCCATCTGTCATACTATATTTTTACTGTGTATTGTTTCTCTCCTTGAATGTAACATCTGGGAGGTTTAAGACTTTGTTTTGTTTAGTGCTGTATCTCTGGTGTCTAGTGGCAGATACGCAGAAGTTGCCCCAAAATACTTGTTGAATAAATAAATATAGTACAACTTAAACATTTCCCTAGATGTTATCCATTCAGATGCTTTCCTTGATGTTTCCCAGCCCTGTCCCACAGACTAGTGGGATGCCTCTCTGGGCTTTTGTAGCCCTTTGTGCCCACCTCTGTCATACTGCCCTCTCTGCTCTATAGCAATAGCTCTTTTTAAGTATCCCTGAGTGTCTAATATGAATGAATGAATGAATGAAAGGTGATCTTGAGTTGGTTTATGTAACTCAGTGGCATTTTGTAGATGCGGAGGAAGAATCACTTGAACTGTATGATGGTTCGAGGGCAGGCCAGATAATTGTTCAGTGATTATTAGTAAGGAGATATTTTTTGGTATATACTCTGCTAGAAACTGTTATGCACTGGAATGCATATAGGTAGGGAAGGATAATGGGGAATAATATTTTGGTTCCCAGTTTTGTCAAACTTACAGCCTACTAGGAGAGACAGAACATAAACAGAAAGTCTATAACATAGTGTGGCTCAAATGATAATGCCACGATAGAAGAAGTGCACAGTACCGTGAGATAACATAGCAGTGGCACTTGACCAAGTTTAATGGCTGAGACCTGAAAAACCAGTAAAAGCCAAGTAAATGACAGTGGTAGTACTTGTGTACCTTGAGGTGGAGGGAAGCAGTGAGGATGAGAGAGGGAATGCAGGCACAGGAGAGAATTATGCAGACCCTTGGGTAAAAGCAAGTTCATGGGAGTGGAGTGTGGTTATGAGGAGGACATGGGGCATGAAAAGGCTAAATTTGGTCACAGAGAGTCCCTGGTTCCTATAGGGCATTCATAGGCTATGTAAAGGAACTTGGGCCTTATCCTAAGGGTAATAGGAAGCCACTGGTGTTCAGATGTGACCATCTGCTCCCAAATGATTACACCCATTTCTTTCTCCTTTGACTTTTGTCTTTTACTGTATGATATTACATTGTGTATTTGTAGTCTGCCTCCCTTACCTGATTATAAACTCCAAGGAACCAGGGACTTTATCTTATTTATTGCTGAATGATATCATTATAAAAATTAGAATGAAATATACATAACATTACATAGTCATTATCTTTGGGTGATGGGATTCTGGATGATTTTTGTTTTTTTGTAAATTTTTTTCTTTATGTTTTCCAAAATTTATACCATGATAATATAATTTATACCATGGGGGTTGGGGAGGAATTAAAATGTTTTGCTTTGCTAGACATTTTTAAGGAAGCCTTGGGTTCTGTTTGATGTTAATGTGAATTGATCTCAGGAACCAATTTCTGTACCCAACTCTAGTTGGGTAAAGATTCTTTACTAAGAGAGAGTGAAATATAGCTGCTTGAAAACTGGACTCAGGAAGGTACAGTTATCTTTGACATCATTGGTGGATGTCAAATGTCCTGACATCTTACTTTTCAATTAGTATATTCATAGTAAAGATAAGAATTATAATAAAGTATTCTAAAAATAAATTTATAAAGTGTGTGTAGCTACTGTGTGCTGTATGACCGCGATGTGGCCAGGGAGGTATGCAGGTGGAGAAGTAGTCGACATTGTGTCATCAGGTTCTCCGACTAGTTTTCCCACATGAGCAAAGAAACAAAATGCTAAACCTTCTGTTAGAAAGTGTCGAGAATTGAGAAACCATTAATCATATGGTACGTAGGTCTGATTAGCAAGAAATGAGCTTTTTATTGACTGGTGTTTGTTATTTCTATGCCAGAGGGATAGCACATGACAGTAGAGTAGATTTGACCTTTTAATTCATAGTCGAAATATTTATCGCAAGAGATCCATGGGACACTTTTTTTCTGAAATAAATGTACATTCGTTTTAGATCAATATTTGATTTTAAGCTTTAGATTAATTGATGGTCTTTTTTTCTTTCAGGCTTATCAAAGTTTTGATTTTGTTGCAAAAGCTAGTCAAGACCTAACTTTTCTCTGGTGAACAAATATGTCTGTTCAAGAAATAAATAAACATGCAGTTCTCCCTCCTATCATTAGTAGAAGTGACAAGGAATTTTTGGAAAGTATGCAAAGATACATAATTACAGAAATTGAAAGAGTGGGCTGTAATGAGGAAGGACCTGCTGATGAATATTACATCATATACCGAAACGTTTTTGATAAGGTATCATAATGCTCTTAAAACAATGGAATTTTCATGGGTGTATCTTGACAACTAATATTCCTGTCTTAGTAGTAACACCACTGCTCATTTGACTACATTTATTAATTTTGAGAAGTTCATTTAGTTTGTTGGAAAGGAGCGAATGGGGAAAATGCAATCCTGGATTTACTACTAGACAGTTAATGAGTGTTTCAACTGTTTTAGCTTAAGTGCAGGCTGTCACTTTTTGAGCAACATGCAGCTGTGCTCTTTTGACCTTCCATCTGAAAGTCTTATCTGATGATATGTTAGGAATTGGGCTGCAAGCAGAAAACTGGTAGTTCCTTGTTCTTTTGGGTTTGTGATATCATTAAAGTCTTGGTTTAGATTTGGCCTAGCATATTAAACTGAGGCCCTTTGTAGATTAGAGGTCTAGATAGGCTCGGTAAACAGGAGATTTGACTAGACTGAACATTGGAAATACGAAAATCAGATTAGAAAATGCTGTGGCTTTATATAACATTTGACTTTGCTTTTCAAGGTTTTAGAAATACCTATTTTTCCTAATGAACAATTGCAGTTTGTCCACCAATCCTAATTTTTTTTTTTAACCTTGCCTTTCTTTTACCCCCTTGCAAGATGCCTTGACAATTAAATAAGTGAAATCGGCATCCTTTCCTTGTTACCTAGAAGAAATAATTACTTACCTTAAGACTTCTGTAAACTATTGGTCTCTGAGTAAAACAGCCACAGGCAAAATAGGAACTCAGTCATTTGTTTAATTATTAAACATTACACACTCTGAGTCTTAATTGATCTCTAAATAAAAAACATAGTGCTTCTCTGTAAGGAAAAGTGAGCAGAAAGTAGTGATATGTACCTACCAGTGGAATTAAGAAAATTGATGCATATTCATAAGAGCATAAAATAGAGAAACATAATCTTGTCTTCTTTTTTAAGTCATCCAGAAAATTCCATAGAATGGTACATTGGCAGATTAACTTCATCTTATATATTGTTATGATCAGTGATATTGCTTTTGGTGTTTTAGTCATTAAAGACTATATTGGGTGAATGTTTAAAGGTCATATTTTAAATAGGTTTCATAAATATCAAGAATCATGCTATGACTACTTCTGTGAGATCAACAAAAGAAAGTTATAACTGTGACGTGCTTATCTTTGCAGGCCCAAATGCTAACACTTGTCAGAGTTTTCTTACCGGAAGAGCTGTTTGCTCTAAATTAGCATAATGATAGTGAAATCATTTGGAGTTAGCGTTGGTAAGTTTAATATCTAGAGAAAAGACATGGGATTAAATAAAGATAATATCTATATCTATAGTCTTTTTCTCTTTACCCCCCAATATTTCCATTTGGACTGTCCATACATTGTACAATTATAAATTGTACAGTTGTACATTGTGAAGAATCCTATTCTTCAGGGCTGAGAGGGGGTCTGAAAAAGAAATCTTTTGGAACTTAGCAGAAGCTTTTTTCCTAGCTTCTCAATAGATAATTTACCTTTCCATTTTCATGTTGTTCCAGCACATTTCATTGTTAATAAACTGTTAATGACTGCCTTCTCTAATCTTCTTCCCTCTTGGAAGCATCTAGTTGGGCAGAAGATGAAAATATCAACTTACATCTCTACTTGAAACCAGAGGACAAATATCAAATTCTGTTTAAAGTCAAAGAGAGAGTATTTGACTTGGAGAACCATGTCTGAATCAAAGTGAGGAGGATCTGAGACTTATAACCAGAGTTGAGGATAGGTTATAGAGCGAGCCAAGGATTTAATAAGCAAAGAAGACCAGAGCTCGAAAGAGTGAACTTCTATAGAAGTGGATGAATTATCGAGGCAACTGCACTCTTTTGTGTTTCTGGTAGCATTTTTATGAATAGTCTAGATTCACATAGAGGAGCTGAGGTGGAATGGATACCGTTCTTCTCCCTCAGACTCCTGTACCTAGTAAGTATAGCTCTGGTTTTCATGGGTTTAATGGAAGCCCTAATACAGGAGTCTCAAACTTGAATGCCTGCAGAGGCCAGATAGTTTCAAATAAAAGAGCTGGGTGGGGTGGCTATAAGAGACTGTGGAAAATAAAGAACGAATTCAATCTAAATCTCCAGCTGATTATTGCCATTAAGGAATAGTGGTCAGTTTTTCAGTTTTCAAGAGAAGCTGGACATATGGTTTAGGGGTGAAATTCTTAAATTTTAAAATATTTTGTGGGTCAAGCAAAACTGTATTCTACCTGTGACCTGCCAGGCTATCTCCTTTATTTTAATGTATTATCTATGCGTTCTCAAAGGTTCCCATGAATGTTCTTCTGAAATCTATTTCTTCTAGCAGATCATGGTGTCACTATAAGTCTGTTTTGTATCCATTAATGTATCTGAGTTGTCTTGAATTGCAGCACATCTCAGAGGTCTGTGGGGTGGAGGATGGCTAGGAACAGTGGGGTGCTTAGTTTGAAAGGCCACAGATTAATGACTTCTATTTTATTAAAGTTTGACATGACCATACTTCCTATCTACCCAAATCAGGTGGTAGTCCTCCTGATTTGGGTAGATAGGAAGTATGGTCATGTCAAAAATAACAGCCAGTATCTTTCACTCAGATATCCTCTCTTGGTACTTGCCATTGATCAATAATCTCCTTTTACCATTCCCTTGATAGATCAGATGTCTTCCTGGATAATTTTTTCTAGGTATTATTTAGCTAACAGAAAACCAGAGGGATACCAGAGACTAGAGATGTAGCAGTGATAGAAAGTGTAATTGTAGCTTTCAGAGAAAATTATGAATTGATTACATCTTTTCCCTTTACACATTGAGCCCTTCTTTTTTTTCAATTGTGCAAGTATCCGACTTTATTTTTGTTTTATCAAATAAGAGAAAAGTCGTAGAAAAATTGCATTTGAGTTTCAGCTCTTTGTTACCAGTGTGTGGCTTTGAGTTCAAGTTGAAATTCCTCCATGTCACAGTGTTTTTGTTTGTAAAATTGGAATAGTTATGCCACACTTTGTGGTTTTGTGCATTCCTTTTGTTCTTCATTGTATCTTCAGCAGCACAGAATAAGTCCCACAAAATGGTTTTTGAACAAATGAATAAAATTATGAATGAAACCTTCCTGGCACATCATAGGTACTAATATTAGTTTATCTTAATTTAACATTTTTCACATAGGATCTTTTGATTGCAAATATACTATTCCATTTAAAATTCACATACTCAATGATATATCCTTGCTAAATATGCTAAAGAATATGTATGTATGTGTGTGCATATACACACACACGGTCTTTTTTAGACAACTATATGTTACTAGAGATTTTTGTTTTAGTCAGTGTTTGACGGTGCCTGGCAAACTTAAGGCTAAAGTAGTATTGTCACCAAGGGATTCAGGGAGATAAAGGTGGTCCAACCCTGTGAAGAAGAGTATTTCGTCACTGAAATTGTTGAAGCATTATGATAATAAAACGTAGACCCACCTGGGTCACACTTATGATTGTTGTAATATTCTTTATGGGCAAGACACCTTTGCATTGCCTGAACCTGGGACCTCCCATCCTTCACCCATCACCCAAGGCGCAGAAATAGCAAATCACAGTCCTCAGCCCAAATGCAGAGCCAATGACTACAAAGCATCATCCATCCTAGTGCTCGAGCATGAAAGAGAAGCCTCAGATAGGGTGGCTGTATGGTTCTATAAGCAATCCCTTAGAATGGTCCATAGCAGCATCCTGCAGGTTTTGCTCCCACCCCTCCACTCCCTGACCATATTTCCTACCACTCTCCCTCTCATTCGCTTTTTGCCGATCTTTAAACTTGTGAAGCATGCTCCTAACCCAGGGCCTTTGCCCCTGCTGTTCTCTCCTCTTGTAATCTTTCCTCACATTTCCATATGATTTTCTTCCTCCATTCAGGTCTCTGCTCATATGTCATATTCTCAGACCATGACATGCCATGACCCCAACCATCTCTAGCACTTCACCCTGGTATATCTTTTATTTATTTATTTAAAGATTTTTATTAAAATATCGCTAACGTACAATATTATAGTAGTTCAGGTGTATACCATAGTTATTCAACATTGATATACCTAAAGAAGTCCAGCAACACGATAAGTCCAGCAACCATCTGACACAGTACAATGCCATCACAATATTATTGACTATATTCCCTATGCTGTACATTACATCCCCGTGACTTCCTTGTTTTATACCCGGAAATTTGAACCTCTTATTTCTCTTCACCTCCCCCCACCTTAAAATTTATTTTCAATTACAGTTACCATTCAATATTATTTTATATTAGTCTTAGGTGTACAGCATCGCCATTAGACATTTATATAATTTACAAAGCGATCCCCTGATTAGTACCTACTTGTCACTACACATATTATTGACTATATTCGGAATGCTTTATTTTACATCCCTGTGACTATTGCATAACTACCAATTTGTACTTCTTAATCCTTCATTTTTTTCACTCCACCCCCCCAACCCTCTTCCATCTGGCAACCATCAGCTTGTTCCCTGCATCTATGAATTCGTTTTGTTTGTTCACTTATTTTGTTCTTTAGATTCCACTTATAACTGAGATCATATGGTATTTGTCTTTCTCTGACCTATTTCACTTAGCATAATACTTTCTAGGTCCATCCATGTTGTCACACACATGGATCCCTTCTGAAATCCTTGTGAAGAGAATTTGGAAACTCTAAATTATTTATAATTTTTTTGTTTTTTTTTTTAGCTTATTTAAAATGTTTCATAATGATTTTTTCCATGAATAATGCACACACAAGATTAATTTTAAAAAGAAGAAAGAAAAAGAAGCAACAAAGAACAATATACAATGTAAAGTCACATCCTTCTCAAATCAGACCCTACTTCCCCTTTCCTTATCTGCTGGTACCCACTGTTTCTATTTTCTTACATCATCCTTCCAGAGATATTCTGTACTTAAACACCACTGGAAACCATGAATGTATAGTGATGAGGGTTTTTCTACAGTTTTACTTGGTATCTTGGGAGTAGAAACACAATTTGAGAATTGAGAGTATTGATCAGCCAGTAGGAGCTGATAGGTTAGAAAAACAGGGAAGTGAAGGGAATTCAGGATTTTAAGATCTGAATAAAGTCAGAGACTAGATTTGGAGCTAGTAAAGGACGATACGTAATTATATTTAAAAGATCACGAATTG